GTATAAATTACAAGACATAAATAAATAGAATATGCTATATTACTCTCTTATAGATGTAATTGAATTATKTCTTAATCATTGATATATTAATAATACACCAATGGTAGTGGATGACAGTAAATGTTGTTTTTACATGTACATGTACATGCTTACAATACATGTTTTAGTGTTTTTCTAGAAATGAAGAGTATAACAGAACACTTTTTAAGCTGTYCTTAAAAGGGTATTTGATAATCTTTTAAAATCCTTCTTGAAATATGTATAAATCATGAGCACGTATGCTCATTTGCCTTGGGGGCTTTCTTGAATATTTTAGTCACATAAAATATAAATAGGGTGTGTGTATATGAGCATTTTGAAATTATTTGGAAAACATTTTCATTATTCAGAGAGTTGAGACAGTTAYCGTATGAATGTTTTTGTATGTGAAAAAAATTTTTAAGTTCAAATAGGAATCATCACTCGTGTAAATTGAAACTACTTCAGGAATTCAGTCTAATGAATTGCGATTTTTAACCACAAGTGGAGATTCTGTTTATTCTTATCAGATTTAGAAAGTAGGAGTACTTATTTATGCTCATTTTGATAATTTTTACTTGAATCTCAAGTGTTCAAGAATGAAGGGTTTCTAGAAAAATCTAATTTTAATGTTCACGAAAGTTTGTCCGGATGTGACGCAGGCTAATGTACATGTAATGAGTAATATTATGGGKTTTTTTTCGCGGTAAATCATTACACATTCATKATAATGTTCATTATGCATAAGTCACACCCAGTCTGTATTCTAATGAGTACGATTTTTAATACGTCATTTTATACATGTAGAATGTTCTGCTCCAATATTCTAGCAATAATATATGAATTCAATTGCTAAAAATGTTCTTCCAATGTATAATTTATAATACACTAAATTTTTTATTGTTTTTTTTTTATTATTATTTGATTATCATTTCTTCTGGGTACATATTTTATTTTTCAATGAAAGTTTAATTCCTTTTTATTCCCTAACCATTATTTCACTGTCATTTATTTTAATTTTTTATTCATTTTTTTTTTATTTTTCTATTTTTTTGTAGTCAATCAGAAAATGTTATATTTGATTCCCTCAGAATCACTTGTTATTAATAATTGATAAAATAAGATTTTCAATAGATCTTGTCATAATWATGATGCATATATGACCTCGGCGTTCAGCCGTGTAAGTGATGCTATAAAAAAATCTAAGAGCTACAGTATAGACATCTGTAATAGAGCACTTTGCAAATGAAGACACTTTTCAACCAAGCAGCAAGAAATTGGACAGATTAGTTTGTTTCAGAGCTAAAAATGTGTCATATTATCAAATTTCTCATGTCAAATTATAGCATTTTTACTCAGTTGGAGTATTAAAGATGTCAAATCATTTATTTTCACCAATAAGATACTAAAATAGCATTTTCAACTCCTCTTCCCTACCCCCCTTATAGATGACCTCACCCCTCCCCTGTAAATATGCAATGAAACAAATATCATAACACCACAAGCTTTGAACGCATGGGAATTCCTGTAAATCAGCAATCTTTGAATGATTCTAATTCATATTCGTATGCAAGATTTAATGTAATATTATAGGACCTTTAGATTACAAGCTGTATGCATACCCCTGTTGTTTTTAGTACAAATCTGATACAAAATGGATGATTTTTGGTCACTGCCTTGTRCTTCCAACCCTCATTATTACATATGGTTTTAGCATTTTAGTGACAAAATATTGTATTGTATGATTGATTTAATGGTTGATTCTGTTCATTGTCACAGGATCTTGGCACTTCTAGCATCACAAAGAGACCCACCAGCATTGTGATGGTAAAGCCTCAYTCTGACATACAAGACCCTTACGATGAATGCTATAGTCAAGTCAATTCACTGCCACTGCCCATTTAAGACCAGCTGTTTGATACTCATGCATAAAAATGACTTTATTCAAATATTCTGTCAAAAAAAACCCTGTAAATAGTTTTGAGAATACACGTATTTGAACTAAAGCGAGGAGTAATTTATTCTGTTTTCTTTAGCTGCAATTAACTCTAGGAAAATCTTTCCTAAGCTGGTTTTGATAACATAATGTCATATAGGGGCGCAAAAAATATGAAAATCCTTTTCAATCCCATTCAAAGATGAAGAATATTAAATGATAGAAGAAATATTTATTAGCAAGCTGATCTTGTATTTATAGAAAAGTTTGTCATCCAATTCCGGAGCGCTGCGCCAAATGTTATCAAATGCTGGAGTTTAAAAAATGATTTTTTTTGGTATCAGATACAATTTTTCCTCAGATTTTATCGCCGTTGATGTTTCGTTCTTCTAGAGATGAAAAGTTGAGATATTTTTGACAATTTGYTTGTAAACATGTTACGATTTTTGGAAATGGTAATGATACGTCAGCTTGAAAAATATTTTTTTTCTTTGATATTGTGCTTACTTAATGATTGAAAATTGAAATCAAGTGCTTCCGAATATATTATATATCAATATTGTTTTGGAGGAATATCTTTTTGCCATTTCACATACAAGGACATTTTTGCATTATATCATTTTTCCGATTTCTAGTCCATAACTTCGACAGTGCTACTAAAGTGTTCTGATCAGRAAAAAACGGGTGTTTTCGTGGGGGTATTGACATCACATTGATTTATAGCTGGGTATCGGCATTTGTAAAACAACYCGAATAATGAATTGATTATCACTCAAAAATCGGACGACATGCGAGCAAAATAATGGTAAAAAAATTAATTTTCCATTCCAGACATAAATCATTTCAAGCTAAATACAGAATTTAAGCGTTTAAAAATATGAAAGGAGCTAGGAATTGTCAGGATTCTAATAGCTTGGTTTATTTGAGAGAAGTGGGCATAGAATTAGGAACTGCGCAATTCAGGAGATGGAGGTCTTTCGTTGTCTTCATGGAACAAACGAGCAAGGGAAATACCATTCTTTTCGTTTTGTGATGTAAATTTGAGTACGATTACATTTTGATCAGTTTTGATAAAACACGTCGATCCTTGCTACAATATACCTGATAATTATAAATTAGCGGTTTGCTGTTTTCCAGTATTTTTCGATGTGGAATAAAAAAAATCAGCGTAAATATGCTAAGAAATATTTACTACATCTTCATTTTTTTTTGTTCAGCTGTTATTTTGCATGATTAAATGGCTAAAAAGGAGTTTCCAAATGTTAAGATTTCCCACTAGGGGATCTGCAAAATGGTAATTCTATTTACCCCTGCCGTTGTTCGRTGTTTTTGCGACGTGATATGAAAATATCGCAGATTTTGACAGCCAACGACTGCGAAACATGCGCTCAACCGACGCCTTCCAAGCACAAACTGAAAAAAATACATACATCGCGATTTTTGTGGCCCATGTACTTTAATTCTGTTCAATATATACATGTATGTACGTGACGTTTGGAACTGACAACGAACTTTTATCGAGCACATTCGGCACAAGCGAGGCCTTAATATAATGAATTGAAGTGCTTTTGAAATCGTACTCACAAAAATTGACTGAACGGTGTCTCGCCTTCTAGTTTGAACAATGTTCACCAAATTGGTTCGGCGCGGAAAATTTAAAGTAAAAATTTGCTAAATATGAGCGCAAATGCAAATCAACAATCAACAAAGAAATTTCTGGAAGGATGAGACAGCGATGATTGTCATTTTCAATTGCTATGTCAAAAGACTTCGAAGACAAAAATATAGAGTAGAAAAAAATATATTCAACCTTTGGGCCATAAAGTTCTTAATCAAATTACTACAGTGTTATGAAACCCAATAGAAAACGAGGACGAGGTATTTATTTAAAGTCGCAATTTTTAGGGRGAGAATTATCTGAATTGAAAATCAAGAATTGGCGGGAAAATGGCGATAATTCATCCCCACAAATGAGTTCTCAAAGATATATGCAAAAAGGGAGTGCCTACTTCCTGTACATGAATAAAAATGAGAAAAACACTTTATTCRCATCTTTCTTTAATTGCTCACACCGTATATTTTACTGAAAATCCTTTTTTGAAGAATTTACTAGCAAAATATATTTACCAGATGTGATTTTTTTTAAGGRTAAATTCTGCGCGCGCGATGTAGCGCCTTCGGTGCTGGCTTTTTAATAAGTCAGGGTTTACGCCTCCAGAACGTACAAATTCAAAGATAAATTATTAAYATCTAGGGATTTTTCAATAAGGTGGATAGCGATGTATTCAGTGTTTTTTCATCGGTATTATTCGGTTTTTATGATAACCTATTAGATTTCTCCTTTAGCAGAGCGTAATTGATAACAAAATATGAGAAATGCGCCAGGTGTATGCAAGAAATTCAAAATGTTTATTGAAACGGCTCAAGACCACTGAATATTGGAAAAGAAACAAGTTAAAATTCACAATGTATTGAGCCTCGACCGACAAAAAGTGTCTTAATTTCGCTGGAAAAAGCCACCTTCTCTACCGTGTGAAAAAACTTGTAAAAAAAAACATCATTAATCTGTTAAATATTCACCCATTCGCAGCTCTGGGGTATTTAAATGAAGCCCGAGTTTATGGAATAGAGTATTATTTTTGCACATAGGTAAAATGACATAAAGGATCGATTTTTTTTCTTCTAGATTAATCAGCATTCCGGCAAGGATATTACGACTTATCTTTTGTATTAAACATTCATGTAATTTCGGCCAATACACTAATAAAGTTAAACTTTCATAACTTAGAAGCAAAATAAGGAATATTCTAAGTTTTAGTTCATGGGGTAACGGAYTTTGGAAGCTGCAAAATATGTACATCAATTGAAGATGTTTATCGGGAAGTGCTCGATTCACCTGCCTTCCAATAGTCTTCAAACTTCGATKGAACAATACCCCATACAATTAAAAAGAATCTCTAATCCCTACTCGCCCTCCTATTGGACGCCGACAGTACATTTGAATTTCTATTTGCATATAGTCATGTTTTTATTGTTTTGACGCTAGAACGCCCACGACAGAACCAGTTGGGCAGTAACCTTTGAGATCTAAGGCTTGAGCAAGCAGGTTACACGAGGGAAAACCAAAAAAAAGGCATTCTCAAAACCCGAGAAGCCTCGACGGAAAACAGTCGAGAATGGCTTCGACAACGTCGTATCGATGTCTTCTATTCCTTCTCGCTTTGGTAACATTTGTGTTCTTCTCGGCTGCAGCTGTGCTCTTTTACCTCGGTAAATACCATGACAAGTCTCCGATGAAAGTATTTTTCAACCATTCCGTTCCACTCGTTGGCTATGAAAAATACAAGCTCGATGCCATCACTCCCGCAGATTGGACTTGGTGGATTTGGGCGCCTGTGTTTGGCTGGCAAGTTCCATGGCTGTTGTACGCATTTATAATTCCCTGTCGAAGGCAACCGCCCAAAGTCTTCACCATGCCTTTTTTTATCATCGCTGCGATTGCATTCGGGTTCATCGCCGGATGGGTGCTGCTCTGGTCAAAGCATCTCGTAAACGTTGCTTTTGGCTTCCTCGGCGGCGCCTGCATGTGCCTTTACATATGTCTTGCTCTGACATATCACCGTTTGAGAGATACCTACGAAACTACGAAGAGGTTCCCAGTATGCGACCATATTATGATCCAACTGTTCCTCATCAACGGCCTTGCGCTCATCTCTTCTTGGGCGACGTACTCCGTGTTTGTTCACCTTGGAATTATTTTCCATTATACTTCAGGAGTTGAGGAGCACATCACGGCCACCATGACGATGGCTGGCATGTCAGCTGTGATATTTTTCTGGTTTATGCTCGATAATTTTGTGTTCCAAAGCTACACGCTCTACACCTTCACCGTTTATCCGGCGCTAGTTGTTGGCTACACTGGAGTGTTTGAACGCTGGTGGGATTACAAGAATTCAGACAACAACGACCGAAATGACATCTTCTACGTCGTTTTGCTAGGGGTCACTGCTCTTCTCGCTCTGCTCAAAATTTTGTTTATGATTTGCAGAACTTGTCTTCGACGAAAACGGTCGCGATCTCACGTTGTTACAGCCGACGAACAATACAACATGAACGAATATTGAACTGAAAGAACAACCATAGTTTAGYATCGCCCAAGACTGCCGCAGAACAGCACAGCTGTAACGTTTTCTGTGACAGCGTTTACGACCGAAAATTTGGCAAAAGACAAACAAAGACTCGCTCACTTGAAAACAATGTGAATATTCAAAGACATTAAGATTGACAAAAACCTCTGACACCATTTTAACCGCCAAAATAACAATGGATTCTACAACAACAAATGACACACACTGTCAGAAATGCACTTTTTTCTGGGATTCGTCTCTTTCCGGAGCGAAGAAGCTGGACAATTTATTTGACAGACAGAAAACGTTTATTATCCAAGGATGTCCAGTCGACATTCCATCGGAATCAACCAAACTACGGAAAAAGAACGCGTTATATGATTGTTTTTGCTCGGTATTGAAGATGCGAATTCTTCACGCACCATAAACTACCAAATCACCACCGTTTAGCTTCTGTTTTGCACAAGAATTCTACTCACTTTAGAGCATTTTCAGTAAAAGTWACGTTAATTATTTCAACATGAATTGTAAATATTTGTTTACGAGTCTAATTCCCCTGAAGTTAGAAAGCCGTTGGAGCGACAATATTTGACAACGCAATTCAATAGCGTCCTGCTATATGCCATTATTCGTCGACCTCGTAAGAATTCAAATCCTCTGACATCTTTAATCTTTAATTAACGTCAAGTAAAGAATAACCATGCTATCGTCAATAAGCCTATCGCGTGAGAGTCAAAATAAAAAACAAAGATTATTTTTTCGTGAATTACAGGAAAAGAGACAATCGTTTAGAGTCGTAAAGTAGTCGCCGAGGAATATTAATCGATTACTTTTCGTGGATTATCCGGAAAAGCTTGATTATCTGACGTRGAAGAATTCAATTAATATATTACTTCTTAAAAGTTCACGAAAAACAAGTRTAATTATAATCAAATCGTGTAGTAATGCTAATAGTTTCTTTTCTTAGTTGACGCTTAAGAAAAAATTCRCAAGAAATTAAATAATATAATTTAACTTAACACATTTCTATACTTAGAGGTGACTTCCTGAGAATCTAAATTAGATGTCAATTAATTATTATTTTTGGATCTGACGGTATTGACTATTTCAGTAGTTAGTCATACAAAGTAATCAAGATAATTAAAGTAATTGAATGAGTTATTTTTTGTGAATTGTCGTAATTAAAATGTAAAATGTAAAACAAAACAAAAAACAAAACAGGGTTCGCCTTCCAATGTAAAAGCATCGCAAACGTATTCCACAACTTGGGGAAAAAATCGCATCAGATTGCAAACTCCTGGAACAATCGCAAAATTTCGAAACGACATCGTATAATGTCGTAAAATGTCGAATGAAATGTTTACAATCGCAAAATGAATRTCAAAACGATATCGTACGAGGTCGTAAAATGTTGGAACGAAATGTTTATGTCGAAACGATATCGTATCGCATCAGGGCGTGAAATGTCGGAATTAAACTTTCAAAAATATTATCAGGTCAYAAAATATCGGAGTGAAGTCGCATAAGATCGCAAAATGTTGACAATGAATGTTAAGATATCGAGACAAAATCGTATCAGGATCTCAAAAAGTCGGAAGGAAGTCGTTACCGACAAACGTCGATATTGTAAATAGCACAAAACAACTAGGACAACAAATTTTCAATTWAAAAATATAATTCAAGTAAATTCAGTGATAAGTGCCTAGGCAAAAATATAATTCTTTAGTTTTGGTAAATTATAATATATCTTATTTCAATACAAAATAGCATTCTACAATCAATCTAAATCTAAAATTGTTATTTTAGCCACACAACTATCAAGATAAACCCCTAATACTCGCTATTTGGGTAAATGTCACATGTTAACTAATTAGGTCATGTGACAATCAGTTAGATCACGTGAACACTTACGCAACATCACGTGGACACTTTAGCAATGTCACATGCTATAATAATATTAAAATATAGATGTGTTCGTAGGAATGTTAGAAATAGTGAAGTGAAATAAAAATGTTCTAAACACAACTAGTTGTCTTCGATGTGAGCAGAAAAATATCCWTAATTTTTAACTGTAARCCGTTATTTGCTTTTATAGCCCTTTCGTGGCGTCTTTCTATTGTTTTCCACACCTTTTATGAAAAAAATACAAATTCGCTACGGAAACGCATCAGTGTGGACGTAACCGCAGTAAATACGTTGTCTAAATTCCCTTCCTACCCCTCCCGTCCWAGAAAAAGWTACACAGACYGGCCATCGCCCTTCTATAATATAAAATATCATTTTACAAAAATATTTTGCATTTGGTGTTTACAACAAACTGCCTATTGACTTTTTCCCATTACCAGTAGTAAGAATAATGTGCTATYGAATGATAAAAAGACGATTCTTTTTTATAAAAATATCACAGTTTCAAAAACCTCCACTAAAGAAATCTGTACTGACTCTTTAGCATGACATAAGATTGCGTTATCAGGATTGCRTTACAATATTCCGTTACTTTAGTTACCAGTGTCCTACATATTCGGAAATCTTGTGTGCTGCTCGCTCGCTCGTCTACCTTTGGGAGGGACTGGCGGCGAATCTATTTCGTCAGGTTTCGGGACAGGTCTCCTCGGCATCGTTGAYATTTGGTCGTGATTGGGGTCACGTGACACCGTWGTCCTTCGTGGCAAAGGTGGCTGCAACAAAATATAAATTGTTAAAACATTTCACAGAAGCAGAGTTGACAAGCGCAACTTAYGATCTATGTACACGTATCGGGAGATTTTTTCAACCGCAGATCAGTGCGATTTTTACTTGAACTTTGTACATGCGGCATAAACGTGAATTTGCAGACTGATTAAACGTGCGACACCATCACCACAATTGCAAATCATTTCGCACGACAAAAATGCCTTTATTAGGCTTTGACGTTAGGTTGACGCGAGACATCCAGTCTACATRACAAAACTTCAACCCATTTTATGTGGGATGGTGGGTAGAAGGGGGTTGGGGGGGATGTTGTCAATCAAATGATATTATATTAGTCTTATCAAGCTTAAGGCTCACCGCTTCACTGATCGGCTCCATTTCTCCTGAGCTGTTCGATCCGGCACTAGACCGCTGATCAGTAGGTTTTTGACGCACGCTCTTTCGTGGTAATAACGGCGCGTCATCACTTGGAAAAGGTCGAGGAGGCTTTGGC